ACGAAATGCGGCAGATGGAGGTCGCGATCTGGGAAGTCGGAGAGAGTGCGCGCGCAAGGGAGGGGTGAACTCTGAACCTCACGGTACGTGTTGCGTCAGCGAAGAGAGCACGGCGAACGCTGAAGGGGTTCTGGCCGGGTCGCTGCAGACAGGGAGGCAGAGCTCCGACGTGGGGCGGTAAGGACTCGGAGGAGCTGATTGGGCGGTTTCTTGAGTTAAGGGAGGAGAGAGAGAAACGAAGTGTGAGAGAGTCACAAATTTATGGGGATAGGGGTCACAGAGTCCTTCGGCTTTCGTTTTGTTCTTCAAGAAACCCCACTCGCGCAAAATTTAAATATTATATATATATAATATATATAATATATACTCTATATATATATATTATACGAGACCATTCGTACCAGTTTTATCATATAATTGTAGCTGAGGTGCGCAAATCTTCCCCCCTACATCACGCCTCCGAAAAATGAGCTCATTTTTGAAGGATACGTCGTGAATAAGATGAGGGCTCTTCTTCGAGCGTGATTAGGTAAGATCATGCTACACCCTTAACTGTCAAGTTCCAATGGAGAACTTACATGTACCAAGTTTCTCCATATATATAATAATATATATAATAACTATACATATAATATATAATATATAATTAATAATATACTATTAAATATACATATATTATATATATATAATAGAGAGATGAGAGAGAGAGAGAAGCGAGGAGAAGAGAATGCACTTCAGTAACAAGCTATTGTAAGCTGATGTGACTTCATCTTGCCCTAACATTACATTTAACAGTTGGCTAAAGGCGTGGTTGGTCTCTAACTTTCAAGAATGTGATGTAAGACACAGAATTGAAGCCACATCCAACTACCAAGGTCAACTTGGCTACAAGATTCTCTATTTTCTCAAGTGAATGCTGGCTTCATCATTCCCCTATACATCTTACATTGCAGTTGGTGAAGTCGTGGTTGCAGGCCTCTAACTTCAAGGTGTGACTATAGAGGCAAGATTGATGCTCACTCCAAGTTAACTTTGTAACCAAGTTTTCTCAATTTTCGTTATAATATATAATATATACATTATATATATATAATATTATAATATATATACTATTACATAATACTAATATATATATACTGTGGTCTGATTGTGTGTGTGTGAAACTTGTGCTCAAATTAAGTGGATAGAAATAGTGAGTCACCAAAATTTTACCATGGATCTTACCTAGATATTCTTGAATTGTATGAAGAGACCTTGATTATATAACTTAATAATGAGTGGACTAAAAAGTATATGATGGAAAAATTTCCCTATATCTTAAGTTGATAGAGTCTGCATATATATATACAGCTAAATATAATATAACCATAATATAATATTAGTTAAATAAATAATAAATAATAATATAGAAAAAGCTTCCGAGTACTTCTCCGTCAGAACGCAATGAAACTTTATCCACAGCATGGTCTCAACATTCTAAGATCAATGGTGCAAACTTTGATCAACAAAAAATTTTCTAAAAATGAAAATGCGGCAGATTTCAGCAAGCTCGTGATACCGAGGCTAAAACTGCAAATCGATTCCAAACCTGATCCATTCATCCCAAAATGATCACTAAACGCAATAAATCTCAATTATTATTATTTAAAATTATTTCTTGAATTTTTGGAGCTTTATATTATCACAAGCTGGATTCGACCCGACCCACTATGGGCCAAGCTAGGACTTTATCAAAGGCTAGCTGGGCTGCCTCTCCACCTATCATCAATTTCAATATTTGAAGTGCTAATATTGCATTACAGAGGACTTAAAACTATTGTCTAGAAAACCCAAAAAATAATAATGGAGCTGAAACGACTAAATATCAGAGAAACGTCTTTAACTTGAAACGATCATCATATAATGGCTGTTTGTTTGGCTAAAAAAAGAAGGAAATCAAAGAATAGGAAAACTATTTCCTAAAAAAGTTGTTTTGAGGTTGTTTGGTTAGCTACAAAAAGAAGGAAATCAAATAATATAAGATGAGATGAGATGAGTTGTCACCATATTATTGGATGATGTGGGTGAGTTTTTAAGTAAGGTTGTTTGGTTGGCTAAAAAAAATAAGGAAATGAATTAAAAGAAACTTATTTCCTACAATAGGTTCTTTTCTTGTGTTTGGTTCATTCTTAAAAATAAGAAAATAGATGAGGTGAGATGAGTTGTCATTATATTATTGGATGATGTGACTCATACTTAAGGAAATCAATTTCCTTGTTTTTTTTGAGAAAATTGATGGAAATAAAATGTTAATGAGATGAGATGAGTTGTCATCATATTATTGGATGATGTGGGTGATTTTTAAATATAAGATGAGATGGAGATGAGATGGAGATGAGATAAGTTGGATGATGTGACACATTTTTTATGTTTGGTTTATTTTTAGGAGATGATATGAGATGAGTTGTTGGATGAAAATAAAAAGGGAAAAATGCTTCCAGCCCCCAAAAGCTAAGGAAACGTGCTTCCCACCCCCAAGACTTTGTCAACGGGTGTTTTACCCCTAAAAATAAAGATTCTGTTCTCTGAGCCCCTAAAACACAAAACCCAAGAGATTAAAATATGTGAAGACCATAATACCCTTCTCTCTCTCTTTCTTTTTTTATTAAAATATGATGATGATTATTTTATTATTTTTGTTTTCTCTCTCTCTCTTTATCATGATGTACTAAGATGATAGTTGAAATGATTAATGAGGATTCTTTTATTATTTTCCTTTTTTATTATTTTTGTTGTTTGTATAGGGAGACTGTTAAAGTTACGGGTTAATTGTTAAGGTTACGAGTTAATTGTTAATGTTAATGGTCAATTGTTAATGTTATGAATCCTCTCTCTCTCCCTCTCTATCATGATGTTACTTTGATGATATTGAAATGATTGAAGAGGATTATTATTTTATTATTTTTGTTTTTTATTCTTTTTGTATTTTTAGAATATTCGTTGTTAAGGATAATGGTTGGTTGTAAAGGTTATGCATTGATTGTTAAGGTTACGGGTTGGTTGTTAAGGTTATAGGTTTGTTGTTAAGGTTATGGGTTTGTTGTGTAGGTTACGGATTTGTTGTTAAGGTTACGGGTTTAATTGTTAAGGTTACATGTTTAATTGTTAATGTTACGGGTTTAATTGTTAAGGTTACAGTTTAATTGTTAAGGTTACGGGTTTAATTGTTAAGGTTACGAGTTTAATTGTTAATGTTACGGTTTAATTGTTGAGGTTACGGTTTTATTGTTAAGGTTACGGGTTTAATTGTTAATGTTACAGTTTAATTGTTAAGATTACGGGTTTAATTGTTAAGGTTATGAGGGGGAGAGAGAAGGGATCCATAACCTTAATAATTGACCCGTAACCTTAACAATTAAACCCGTAACCTTAACAATTAAACCCGTAACCGTAACAATTAAACCCGTAACCGTAACAATTAAACTCATAACCTTAATAATTAAACTCGTAACCTTAACAATTAAACCCATAACCTTAACAATTAAACCGTAACCTTAACAATTAATAAACCGTAACCGTAACAATTAAACCCGTAACTTTAACAATTAAACACGTAACCTTAACAATTAAACCTGTAACCTTAACAATTAAACCCATAACCTTAACAATAAATCTGTAACCTACACAACAAACCCATAACCTTAACAACAAACCCGTAACCTTAACAACCAACCCGTAACCTTAACAATCAATGCATAACCTTTACAACCAACTATTATCCTTAACAACGAATATTCTAAAAATACGAAAAGAATAAAAAACAAAAATAATAAAATAATAATCATCTTCAATCATTTCAATATCATCAAGAGAGAGAGAGGATTCATAACCTTAACAATTGACCCGTAACATTAACAATTAATTCGTAACCTTAACAATTAACCCGTAACTTTAACAATCTCCTAATACAAACAACAAAAATAATAAAAAAATTCGTAACCTTAACAATTAACCCGTAACTTTAACAATCTCCTAATACAAACAACAAAAATAATAAAAAACGAAAATAATAAAATAATCTTCATCAATCATTTCAACTATTATCTCAGTACATCATAATAAAGAGAGAGAGAAAACGAAAATAATAAACTAATCCTCATCATATTTTAATAAAAAAAGAAAGAGAGAGAGAATGGTATTATGGTCTTCACATATTTTAAATCCTCATCATATTTTAATAAAAAAAGAAAGAGAGAGAGAATGGTATTATGGTCTTCACATATTTTAATCTCTTGGGTTTTGTGTTTTGGGGAAAAGAAAGAGAGAGAGAATGGTATTATGGTCTTCACATATTTTAATCTCTTGGGTTTTGTGTTTTGGGGTCTCAGAGAACAGAATCTTTATTTTTAAGGGTAAAACACTTGTTGACAAAGTCTTGGGGGGTGGGAAGCACGTTTCCTTAGCTTTTGGGGGCTGGAAGCATTTTTCCCAAATAAAAATTTATTAGATGTTGTGTATGAGTTGTTGGATAAAAATAATATTTTATTGGATGTTCTGTGTGAGTTTTAGGGATGGAAATGGATGAAATTGCTCTTTTTTAGATTTACATGCTCTAATTTCCTATTCTTGGTTTTTAGGAAACTAACCAAGCAACCCCCAAGCCACGCAACTTTAACAATATCAAAAACATCACTTAAGTTAGGAGTTATTAAAAAAATCCCCTTTAACTCTAAGATTTTATTACAAAATTTCCCTAACAGAGTTTACTGTAATTTCCACGTGAGTGGGTAAAATTAGGCATAAGAATATTTGCCATTGAAAATTACAATCAACGCTGTTAGGAGTTTTCTTATAAAATCTTAAACTTAAAAGGAGTTTTCATAAACTTTAATTTGAGGGGTTTTTTCTAATATTTCAAATGTTGCCTAAAACTTTAATTTGAGGGGGTTTTTCTAATATTTCAAATGTTGCCTACAACACCCTATCAAAGTCCTCTCTCTCTCTCTCTCTCTCTCTCTCTCTCTCTCCCCCCCCAACAATGGCTCCTCTATTCCTCCTCTTCCTCTTCTTCGTCCAAACGCATTCCCAAAATACCCCTCCTCCTCTTCCCATTCTACCCCTCCCCTCCTCCGCCCAGCTCCAACGGCAACAGTCCGAGCTCGCCCTCTTCCTCCACTTCGGCCCCAACACCTTCACCGAGTCCGAGTGGGGCTCCGGAAAAGTCGCCTTATTTTGACCGCGAAGCACCACGATGGGTTCTGCCTCTGGCCGTCTATGTACACCAACTACTCTGTGGCGTCCAGCGGGTGGGAGGGTGACGTCATGGCTGAGCTGGCGGCAGCGGCGAAAGAGGTGGGTGTGGGTGTGGGTGTGTATTTGTCGCCGTGGGATCGGCACGAGAAGAAGTTTGGGAGGACGAGGGAGTATAATGAGTTTTATTTGGGGCAGATGACTGAGCTGCTCACCAAGTAAGTGCAATTGGTGAAATTTCTCAAAGTTTGATTCTTTTTTTTTTATAAATTTGTCTGTGATTATTTGGTAGATTGTTTGTTTCATCCGTTTGATGATCTGGGTCGCGATCAAAATCTGACTTTTATTTCTTTCCGAGGTGATTTTTTGGGGGAACGTTGGTTGGCATAAGCATTTGGTGTTTATTATGATCGAGATTAGAGTTTCGGGGCAGATGAATGAGCTGCTCACTAAGTAAATAGTGAAATTCATTGTGAAGATGTGATGTTTGTTTTAAAAGTGAGATTCTTTTCGATGAATTTGAGCATTTCGATTAGTCCAAAATTTGAATTTTGATCAGAATCAGAAGTTGTGATATTACGCGATGCATTGTCTAAGCGAACAGTTTGAAGATCTGGGGTTGTGACCAAAATCTGATTTTGATTTCTTTGCGAGGTGACCTTTTGGTAGAATGTTGGTTGACATGACAGTTGGAGTTCATTATGATTGAGTATAATGAGTTTTAGGGCAGACGACTCAGCTGCTCACTAAGTATAATTGGTGAAATTTGTCCAAAAAGTGTGATTTTGTCTGTAAAGTTGGGTTTGTTGGCGCACGCCACCCGCAACCCGACACCGACAGTGGCCACCAACCAATATTCAATGTGGAAGCGTTGCTTGTGGAAGCGTCACCGAACACCCGATTAGATCCCCTCCTCCTTCGTAGACCAATCAATCACCGGGCGCCCGAGAAACTACAAGTTCGAACAGAAGAGAAAGCAATAGTTCATAAAAAAGAGATCAATAGCACAAAGACACAAGATTTACGTGGTTCAGCAATCGCCTATGTCCACGAGGAGATATATGAGTCTTCTCTATATCAGAGATTTACGAGATACTATCTATTTTTGTGATCTCTAAAGATTCCACAAGAAACCCACCCTCAATCTTATCAAAAGATCTCTCAAACCCTAGACTTCTCTCTTTAGTTCTCTCTACTTCTCTCTATTTGTCTCTTACAACACATAACTTTCCTTGGCTAGGTTCCTTTAACTCTAAAATTGGAAGACCTCTTTTATAGGCTCCAAATCCGATTACATAATCCAATAGGAAACTTAACCCGAATATAATTCCAAAATATATCCAAATCAGGAAAATTGCCCGAAATTGGTCAAACTGATCATTTTAATCGGCCTGTCTGAACTGCTTGTTGACTGGCAGAAGTTCCTGCTAGTTGGACCTCCTGTCAATGCCGTTTCTCCTCATTTCGTTTCCCGCTTCATTTCCAACTCTTTTGTTGTCTTCTAGGACAGAAATACAAGACTATATCCCAATAGAAGTCTTGTTGATTATTTTGAGCATTTGAGTTCGCTCAAATTTTGATTTTTGAATGGGGGTTATTATCTTATGGAGTAAATTGTTTCTTCGATCAATTTGGAGATGTGGGTCGTGATGAAAGTCTGATTTTGATTTCTTTTCTAGGTCTTTTTGGGTGGAATATTTGCTAACACAGAGTTTGGTGTTTATTCTGAATGAGCTGCTAAATTTTTAAATGGAAAGGAAGTGTTACTTCTTATTACATTTTAATTGTCATAGAATTTTCATGTGAAACTTGAACTGATGTGGAATTTGTCTTAACTGGTTATTGTATAGTGTTGTCTATTAGGGGAATTCTGGTTTCAACTGTGGGTTTTTGCTTAGTGTCGTAGTTGAGACATGTATGTCCACAGCATGTTATCAATGTACATTTCCTCTAATCAAATTTATATCTTGACATGTTGCTTATTAATGTATATTTTTATGAGAAAATGTGTGTTATTATTTGAATGTAATCTAAAATTTTAAATTTATTGTTCTGAGATTCTTCTAATTGTTTTAAGCAATTATTTTCTGCTTTTTCTAGTTTAGCCCTTTTAAATTTCGTAATATTGCTGTTTTTGATGTTTTATTGCATTGTGGCAGTTATGGTGATATCCAAGAGGTTTTTTTGGATGGTGCAAATGGAGGAGAGAAGGATATGGAGTACTTTTTCAACTGCTGGTTCGAGCTCATTCATCAGCTTCAGCCACGAGCTGTTATTTTCTCTGATGCAGGCCCCGATATCCGATGGATTGGCGATGAAGCTGGAGTTGCTGGAACTACTTGTTGGTCTCTTTTCAATCAGAGCTCAGTTACAATAGGCCACATTGATGATGTGTGAGTATTTCTCTCCCTTTATTCAGCTTGTCTTGTTATTTAATTGTCAAAATAAGGGTGCATCACCACTGTTATCAAAGTGACTCCTTTTCCCCCTTCTAAGGTCAAAAGCTTTGTTGCAGATGAAATCATGAAAAAGGTTAATAAATATATCTTTCTTGTTTGGCTGAATGGAACTTAAATACCCTGTTGTTTCACCACCTTTACACTTAAATACCCTAAGTTGTAAAAAGTAACACTTTAATACGCTAAGTTGTAAAAAAACGGACACATTAGTATCTTTTGATAGTTATGGAAATATTTCTACGAATACTTCTTGACAACTAACAGAAGGTATTAAGGTGCTACTTTCTTACAACTTAAGGTATTAAGGTAGCTACTTTCTTACAACCTAGGGTATTAAAATGTCAATTTCTTGTAACTTAGGATATTAAAGTGCTACTTTTTACAACTTAGAATATTTAAGTGTAAAGGTGGTGAAACAATAGGGTCGTTAAGTGCCAATTTTGGTGCAACTTAGGGTATTAAAGTGCTGCTTTTTTTACAAATTAGGTTATCAAAGTGCTATTTTTTAACTTAGGGTGTTGAAGTGTAAATGTGGTGAGACAATAGGGTATTTAAGTGCCATTTAGGCTTTTTATTTATATTTCTGAGCATAAGGTACTTGTTGGAGCATTAAAGGTCTCTCTTATCAACCTCTTAGATGAATGATTACAAGTGGCAAAAGGAGAGCAATGCATGCATTATGGGGAGGAGCAAGCAATTCTCTTGTCTACATAACTTGGCCCAAGCAATTGACATCAAGCTATTATAAAAACACTATAATTAATAGAGGCACAAGCCATTGCATTCTAGAAAATAGAAACTACAGTGAGCTATTCAAACTAAAAGGATTAAGCATGTCTGTATATGTACCACCCATTTTCTTTTTGTTTTGACTTTTGCCATCCAAGTAGTGCTTCAATCAATTAAAGTAGTGAAGATGATCAACTATGCGTGTGGGTGTGTGTGAGAAGTAACTTATTTCAAGTTATCTAAATATTAAATTACTAATCTAAAATGATACCATGTTTATAATCTCTCTTATGAAGTTGCACAATATCTCACAAGAAGTTATTTTGAAAATCATCACTATAAAGACAAATGTTAACAAAGTTGGGTACATCTCGTATTAAGTTGCAGTAAGTTCTATTTGCAACTTGTATTCTTTTTACTCGTTGCAAACATGAAATATACTTCCCTAAATAGGAAAAATATCCAACAATAAAATGTTCAGCGTGCCCAAATTTCATTCCAAGAACCACATGGTTACTTGTTCTGTACTTTCAACCGTTACTAGTAACTTTCTCATCATTGCAACAAATGAATTACATCAAGAACAATTCCTTAATGTCAAAAATCCTAACTTCCTTACATTTGTTATAGTTACAATCGTGAAGGAGATCCTTATGGGCGAGATTGGGTCCCTGCAGAGTGTGATGTATCCATCAGACCTGGTTGGTTTTGGCACAGCTCAGAACGCCCAAAATCAGCCCTTACTCTTCTCGATATATATTACAAGTCAGTAGGCCGAAATTGCCTCTTATTGCTAAATGTTCCCCCAAATTCATCCGGTCTCATCTCTGACGAAGATCTTCAAGCACTTCAAGAATTTACTACTCTGCGCAAGACAATATTTTCTCATAACCTCGCTCTAAATGCCATTGTCTCTGCAAGCAGCAGCCGAGGAGGTCCAAATGATCCTCGATTCAATCCGTCCAACATATTGGAAGAAGGTATTTATACTTACTGGGCTCCCGATGAGCTCCAAGACTATTGGGGAATATTTCTTGACTTGGGTCAGATTATATCATTTAATGTCGTGCAAGTTCAAGAGCCAATTCAAATGGGGCAACGTGTTATTGAGTTTCATGTCGATGTTATAAAAGATGGTGAATGGATAACTATAACTAATGGCACAACGATCGGATATAAAAGATTGTTGATGTTCCCGATGGTGAAGGCGCAATTTATGAGGTTAACTATTGACAAGTCTCGTGCTGATCCCCTTATTTCGTACCTAAGCATCCACTTGGATCCGTTTTCTACTGTGCATGATGTATATAATGCTAGTGCACGATCTTCTTTCAGTGATAGCCAATCTACAAAACTGACAACATCCAGGCATTCTGGCAATGCGAATGTGGCCACAATTTAATATGTTTTTATTTGTGCTGTCGATATTGATCAGGGCGTTAAACTGAGTTTGTTATGGATGGTAGATAGAAAATATAGCCATCAAAGATATACACAATCAGGTATGCAGCAGCCCTCTAAAGACACCATTTGTGATTTAATTTTTTTTTTTTCATATTGATCTGCAGCGTGATCATTTGCCAGGGGTTGTATTTGTATTGAAGCTGTAAGCATATCATTTATAATTATGTTTTATTGACCCGCAAAAACAAAAATTTGTTGCCTGAAGGTTTAAACCACCTAATTATGTTTGGTAATATCGGGATTCTGGATTTACAGACGTCGAGCTTTTTCATAGTGATTTCTTAAAGGCAAGATTGTGATCCTTGATCTTCCACTTGTTTGATGTGTAATTTTGCTAGCTAATGAGATATTCTTAACTACTTCCCATGATGCAATAAAAATGTTTGTCTCTGGCACTAGGAGGAGGTGCAATTGCTCATACTAGGAGAGTCAAGACAAGGTGCTGTACTTTCTTTAAAAAACTATATTATTTGATTTTTTTTATCTTTACATTTTTTTGAAGTATTCCTTTTGATATGGACAAAATTTTAAAATTGACCCTTTTAAATATTTATTCACAGGATTGTCAATCCCGTGAAGTTTTATTCACCAATTTCGACCTAGTTTCGTGAAACTAGGTCGAAAATGCTAATTAAGGTAGGATTGGGTTTAAAATTATAAATAAATATTTAAAAGGGTCTATTTTCAAAATTGGTCCTTTGATATAATGAATGAGAAGGTCTAAGATCCCTGGAGGATATTATCATAGTCATGGCCAGGTTATGTCTCCACAATCAGGTCAAGTTGGATCCAGCCAGTTCACAGGAATGTCTTTAGATACTACTGGGTGTCTCGTGCATTGTTTTCTTTCTGGGTTTTTTTCGATATTAGTCTGCCAAATATTCTGTAGTTATAATTTGTCCGCCAAATATTGATATTATAAAATTAGTCCCCCAAATCTTTAAGTGTTTTGATATTAGTCCTCCAAACTCTTCATATTTCGAAATCAGTCCCCCCAAATAATTTAAATGTTGTGAAATTAGTCCTGGTTAGTAGCTAATTGAGAGGTTTGGGGGGCTAGTTTTTGAAATTCTTAAAATATTTGGGGAACTAATTTCAAATCACTTAAAAGAGTTGGGGTGACTAATTTCAAAGTATCATGATCTTGTGGGACTAATTTCAACATAGAGTGGTGTTAGGGGCACACCCCCTACCACACCACCAACCACACCCTCCTCTCCTAGCGTTACAGTAAACCGGGCCTCACATGGGATTTTAAATTTTTAAAATTCCATGTGGGGTCCTGTTTACTGTAGCGATAGGAGAGGGGGGGTGTGGTTGGTGGTGTGTTAGGGGGTGTGCCCCTAACATTATTTTTCAACATATGAAAGATTTGTGAGACTAATACCGAGAAAACCCTTTATTTTTTAAATCTCGTTTCTAGCAAAGACTGTGTGTGCTTGCAGATTTCAGTTTGCTCTATTAAAGATAGTAACATGTGTTCTCTTGATATCAACATATATTCTCTTGATATCCTATCGTCTATTTTATAGGTAGCATATAATCTTATATTAGGTAGTGTATTTTGTACTTTATTTTGTATCTCCATTGGGGTTTTTCATATTAAGTCTAATGCATGTCATCATGCTCATATGAAATATCAAACCTTCTTCTTTACTTATCATGGTATAAGTGCTGTCTCCTTTTTCTTAGAAAGAATTCCTAACTATTTCCTTGATCTCGGAAGCCGGCCGCAGGGACTTCTCCGCTCTTCCCTGCGCTTCAACACCAGCTTTGGACCTTGCATTCGCAACTTCTTCTCATCATCATCCTAGCCAACCACGCTTGCTGGATCTCCAGTGAGGAACACATCCCCTCCATATTTGCTAACCCCGTCAACCACAATCAGCTGCAACCTTAGCTGCAAGATACAAACAAAAACAAATGGTTCTGTTGTGGGCAACATCCATCAGATCCCACTCTCCACACACTGATGACCCAAATTCGGTCTGTGAACACGTGGGGTCCACCCACGTGTGTGATTGTTACGCGGAATTGATTTCACCGCGTGAGCGGAGACAGCAGGAAGGCCGGCCCACCCGAAATTTGATTATAAAAGGCTTCTCTAGGTTTTTTTCGTGAAGTGTGCCAAGGAGTTGTTTGTGGTTTATTTGGGCGGCTGTAAAATTCTTCGGTTGCAGAACAGAAGCGCTGCAGAACAGAAGCAAGAGCTCGGATTTTTGTGGCTGCAGTTGAGGAGATTTGTGTAGTCCCTTTTAGGGTTTTGTGCATCTCTTTTATAGAGAGTTTGCGAGGGATTTGAGAGAGTTTGTTTGAGGGTTTAGGTTGTGAGTGATTGTAAACCCTAGTTGTATTCTCTCCCTCTATTAGTAGATCTCCCCCCTCATTGCCCCGTGGACGTAGGCAATTTGCCGAACCACGTAAAAATTGGTTGTACTGTTTTTGTGTGATTTGTAATAGCCTTTTAGGTTCCCTCGAAGCGTAGTCCTAGAGCTGACGAGAGGAAGAGCTAATATCCTACTTTGATAGGATATTAGGCTTCAGATTCTTGTTCCCTTTGAGAAACAAGAATTCTTATTGCGATCTGACTCTCTTGTTGTGCTGTCGAAGTGCTGCCGAAATTTCCGCTGCGCGCAACAAGTGGTATCAGAGCCCAGATTTCAGATCTAGGATTTTTTGGTGGAGGAAGATTTCGTGTGAAGCTTGGTTCTTGGAGTTCTAGGCTTCGGTGGAGATAGCATTAGGAGTTGCCGTTGGAGATTTTGCTTTCCTCGTGTGGATAGGAGATCTATTTGGAATCCGATCAAGGGTTCAGTTGGGTGGTTCCTAATTTCTATCAAATTTGTTCTTTCTCTACATAAATATGAAGAGGCGGTATGGGATAAGATGAATAGGAACGCTTGTGGGGTGATCAGGTCCTGTTTGGAACAGGAGCTGAAGTATGATGTGATTGGGGTGACGTCTGCGATGAAGATGTGGGAAATTCTCAACAATAAGTACCTTACGAAGAGTGTTGAGAACCGATTGCACTTGCTGCGTAGGTTATTCAGATTCCAGATGTCCAGAGGCACCTCGCTTGCGGCTCATGTGAACAACTATACGAAGTTGTTGTCGGACTTGGCGAATGTTGATGAGAAGATATCGGATGAGTACAAGGCGATTATTTTGTTGGGCTCCTTACCGGATGAGGAGTATGATACCTTCGTACTCACTTTGTTGAACGGGAGATCTTCTATCAGCTATAGTGAAGTGACTAACGCATTGATCAATTACGATTTGAAGAGGAATGACAAGAAGACTTCTCGTGCTAGCACTTCAGGTGAGGCCTTGTCGACGAGAAGTAGAAGCCCATATCCGAAAGGTGGTAATAGAGGGAGGTCAAAGTCAAGAAGCCGTCACCAATTAGCAAAGAACCAATGTGCATTCTGCAAGGAGCAGAGACATTGGAAAAGAGACTGCCCGAAGCTCAAGGAGAAAGAGAATGGCAAGAAAAAGGGCCCGAAGGCCAATGAGGAGAATATTGCGAAAGGCGATGATTCCGATGATTCGTGCTTTTCTCTACTGATTACTCCGGAGGTGAACCATGTGGATGCATCAGATTGGATGCTTGATTCCGGCGCTACTTTTCATGTGACCCCTAGGCGAGACTGGTTTGCATCTTTTGAGAAAGTCGACGGGGGCGTTGTTGTCATGGGAAATGATCAATCCTGTAGCGTTTGTGGGATAGGTACCGTGCGGATTAGGATGCACGATGGAGTAGTCCGTGAGTTAAAGGAGGTGAGATTTGTTCCTCAACTGAAGAAAAATCTTATCTCAGTTGGAGCTTTGGAGGCGAAGGGATTCAAGGTGACTTTCGAAAACGCTGTAGCGAAGGTTATTAAGGGATCATTGGTGGTGATGAGGGGAGTCCGCAATCGGAATTTGTATTATCTGAAGGGAAGCACCGAGATTGGCCAGGTTGCTTCGGCTATTTCAGAAGCGGACATGAGCAGACTTTGGCACTATAGATTGGGGCACACAGGTGAAAAGTCACTGCAGGCATTGTGCAAGCAGGGGCTATTGAAGGGAGCCAAGAGTGGGAAGATTGAGTTCTGTGAGCACTGTGTTCTTGGCAAGAAGACGAAGGTGAAGTTCGGGACTGCCATTCATCAGACGAGGGGCATCCTGGATTACGTGCACACAGACATTTAGGGTCCCACCAAGACTGCATCACTTGGTGGTCGACATTGGTTCGTCACTTTTGTAGATGACTATTCTAGGCGTTGTTGGGTGTACACCATGACGAAGAAGAGTGAAGTCCTAGATTTGTTTGTGGAGTGGAAGAAGAGATTGGAACTGCAGACTGGGAGAAAGATCAAGACGTTGCGATCCGACAACGGTGGTGAGTATACTTCTGACCCCTTTCAGCAGCTATGTCGAGACGAGGGCATAGAGAGACACTTCACAGTTAGTCATACACCGCAGCAAAATGGGGTGGCAGAGAGGTTGAATCGGTCTTTACTGGAGAAGATCCGATGCTTATTGTCGCAGAGTGGTTTGGAGAAGATCTTTTGGGCTGAGGCACTTACATATGCGAGCCACCTCATTAATAGGCTGCCTTCATCTGCGATTGAGGGGAAAACCCCTATGGAGATGTGGTCGGGAAAGCCAGCACATGACTATGACCAGCTCAAGGTATTCGGGTGCCCTGCATATTATCATGTTAGAACTGATAAATTGGAACCTCGAGCTAGGAAGGCCATATTTGTAGGATTCAAGCGTGGTGTCAAGGGATACAAGCTTTGGGATCCAGTTGATAAAAAGATTGTTCTGAGTAGGGACGTCACATTTGATGAGGCTTCTATCTTGAAGCTTCCCAGCTCTCATCAGGTGGAGAGCGACCCGACGGAGGAGATATCGCAGGTGGTGGAGATCGATGCAGCTCCACATTGTCCAGATGGTACAGTATCCATGCAGGTGCCGACTGAGGTGACGCCAGGCGAGCACGACGATGACACGGAGGATACGAGTACAAATGTGCAGGATCAGGAACCGACGGCTCAGGTTCAGGATTCTATTGCGGCTAGGAGACAGAGGAGAAACATACAGATGCCAGCACGGTATGCCGACACAGTTGCGTATGCACTTCCGGTGGAGAGTATCGATGAGTTAGTGCCTACTACATTCAGAGAGGCCGAGCAGAGTTCGGAGGCTGATTCGTGGCAGGTGGCTATGCAGGAGGAGATGGAATCTCTTCATAAGAACGATACATGGGAG